TATATATGTGTGTGTGTGTAGTGTGTAGTGTGTATGTGTATATATATATATATATATATATATATATATATATATAAATATGCCTAGATGTAACTATATAGGTATTTGTGTGTGTGTGTGTCTCTGTGTATGTGTAAATGTGTTGATACTATATAAGATGTCAGTATACATATACTTTTCAATATACTAGACATATGCGTATACAAATACATATACATATATATGTAGACATATATGTACGTGTGTATATATATATTTATATATATATATATATATGCACTATATAGAAAAAATGTGTACTTTATCATCGGCGCACTTCTTTCTGCCTATGGCATATATACTATATATATATATATACTTTATCATCGTCACACGTCTCTTTGTCTATAGCGCTCCTGTTATGTTCATGCATCGATTTGTTTTTTCATTGCCCGGATTATTTGCAGGCCCACCGTGGAAGCTATAAACGTTCGTATCTTTCGAGTCGCCAAAGTTATGCGATTGATTCCCAAAGAGATTATGCATGTGGAGCGAAACGAGTCGCTTGATTCGTCCGATGCTTCACGCCAAAGGTGTGTGGGTAGTAATCCCAGTGATATTTGTTGTACTCTGCGGCCGTCATCGTGAGGTAACTTCCACAGTTTTGTACACGAGCGTGATAAGATTGGCCGAATTTTATTTATATTTTTTAGAAACGCTCGCTTCGGCGTGCATATTGTGTCACAGTTTATTTATGCGTTTGAGTTGGTTTTGCCATAACTCTCACCAGTTGTGATACCTAGGCGTCTACATAGCGTATCCCCGACTATCATCCGCTGTTTCAATTCCGCCTCCACGAAGCATAGCTTGCCTATTCATTCTAAATATATCTGTATGATCAAATCAATTATTCACAGACAAAGAGCGCTCAGGGCACTCAACAGTCAACTGGGACCTTCGGATCAGAATGCGTGAGCCGCTAGACCAGACTATAGTGATCACCTGGAAGGCTTACACGATTTGAATGTGGGGTTTAACAGCGCAGCGTAGTGAAGAAACACCCGAGAGGAATGCTATGCCGCAGGTCAATGCATTTTGGCCCATTTGATCTGCGCGAGATGTTCTCCGATGTGAGATAACATCAGGTGTCTACAAGATGCACTGTGTGGGATTATCGAGGATAGTGCGATGGCGGTAGTAGAATGTGGCGGAGTCTCTGGCGGTGCACATGAAACCTACACGTATGTCCACTGGTTCGAGAAACGCGGCGGCAGTAGTGATAGTACAGCGAATGTGGGGGGGTCTCTTGCTGTGCATGCTGCTTACCAGTATGTCTATGTGGTCCAACAAACATACCCGCTACAAGTTTGAGAGTCATAGGGCTAGAAGAATGTGTCCGGAATTCGCGTGTGTGACAGTTATGCCGACTTGGAGGGTTTCGCAAGCGCTCTGAAAGTAATTAAAAGACTCTGTTGGTTGAGAGTACTTGGAACCTTCTCCACATATTGCACACCGTGGGGCCGAAGCTGGCCCCAAAACAGGCCATACTATTTGTAGACGATGAAGTAGTTCGGTACACGTTCGTGCAGATAACGTTTGCATCTTTAGTGGACCCACAAGGCCGCTTATGTACGCATCTCACGCCTTACTGGCACTCGCACCAGTTCAAGACTGAGCGGAGAATACCAAGTTCTAAGGGGACTCAACGTATGTTCTTAAGGATGAACTGAGATGCTGAACTTATAATAAACATAATGGACTGCGCTTGTATTCGCTTCTGTTGTGCAACCGTATCAGTTAATTATAACGCTCCGACTTCATGCGTTGACAGTAGTCTTCGCGTGACAATGAGGAGGTGCCAGTCACGGCAAATACACAATATTGTAACAAGAAAACATAGGTGCGTATGGACGACTTTGTGAGTCATCCGGTCACCTCCGGTCGGAACTAACCCAGTAAATATGTATACTGCAATACGCTTGTAGATTTATTTTAATTTGTATTTAAACTATTGTGCTATAACAATTCATCTCTCAGTAGGTAGGGCGGGTTGGTAGCAACTGATTGTGATGGTGGTAGAATCGTGCAATGTGCCGTTCTGAGCTGTGTATACTGTCAGCATTCTTGTGTGTGTGTCGGCTTGTGATGTGTCTATTATGTAGAGAGCAATGTATTTAAGTATTCGGCATTACTGCCGGCATGCTCTACGCTTTAAATATACATACAACTATAGAATTCCACTATGTGAGGCTTGACATGTACGGTACACCTCTATTGTATATTCTTCCTTCGTTTGCGTGAGACAATTCTGCTTGCAGCAGGTTGTACTGAACTCTCCCAAATTAGCAACGACTGCATCGTTGGAATTTGTACCGTATTTGTGGTTGGTGGAACAAGCACACCCGGGCAGTTGGTTAGCTTCTGAACAGGAACGTGGGGAGTTTGGATCAAAGGTTATGCAATCGGGAAGCAAGGGATCGAATAAGTTCAGCCCCCCTAGGAGAGGTGTATTGTCTTGGCAGCAGTGCGAGTCAAACTCGTTGCTCCTAGTAATAGCCACGGCGGCATTAAGCAGATTGCAATGTCGGTGCTCTTCGCGGGTGAACCCAATAATGCCCAGTACCTGCGCACATACTTGAATCCCTAGACCAACCTGCGGTTTACAACAAGTCTTGTCGAAGTTGCCGCTGAAAGACATATCAATGCTTGCTGAGAGGATTATAGACTCGGCCATTGCCACATATATTTCCGCTAACACCTAAAGCTTGTGCGCACACCTCTATGGCTATGTTTGCTGGGGCATTTGCACAACAGATGGTATCGAAACTGGCCACGTCAGCTACTAGCGAATAGACTAGGCTGGGGTCATACACTCAATCGTTACCACAGACATTGTTGTTTGTACCCACCAGATTCCCACATAGGTTCAGCACGTTCACGTTTGTCTCACAACACTTTGCATTGAACTCGGCAGCCGCAAATACCTTGACACTAGCAAGACTCGGCGCGTACACGCTGCCCTGCGCACAGAGGAAGCCATCAAGGCCATGGGCCTGATCACACGTATGGGCCTCACAACAAACTCTATCGAAGTCACCGGTACTGGGACAGAGTAAAGCTGATAGTAGATTCTTGTAGACACGCCCGGCTGCACATGTATATCCCTTGAGCCCTACTGCCTGGAAACACGTGGGAACTACATCCACAACGTTACAAACTGGGCTACATTCTGGAAGTGTGGGCTCGTACCCCATTATGTCTTGACAGCACGTCTGGTCGAATGTATCGCCATTCGTTCCAACCACGTTTGCCATAGCAGCTATGGAGAGCACTCTACCTTTACCGCAGCTATTACCCAGCACGCCTAGCAAGTCAGCGCATACTTTCACTGAAACTATCGGGGTTGTACAACAACTGGTATCAAAATCTTCATCTATGCTGACATCAGCTTTTAAAATGTCGTATGTGCGCTCACCGCTACATGTATAACCAATTAATCCAAGGGCTTGTACGCAAGTTTGCACATTCAGTATTTCGCCGACTACACAACACTTTCCATTGAAAGTACTGACTGTCGCTTCAACGGTTAAGAGGCTAGTGCTGGCTAGCACAAGACCTTCCAGACAAGTAGCTCTTCCCAGTAAACCACCGCAAGTATCTATATGTATGTCTATGTCGGTATCACAGCATTTGTAATCAAATTCTGATGCAGTGGAGATGGTCACTCCTGCCCTATCAGTAACATATGCACGTCCACTGAGACACGTATAGCCCAAAAGGCCCACCAGAACAAGTCTCGACTGGGTTGTTATTGCAAGTTTTCTGACACTCTGAGTCTTGTTGGCAACAGATAGAGTCAAAAACCCCTGGCCGATTTACAAACACGCCCACATTGAGGAGACTGTATTTTCGCCCGTTGCCGGAGCGATATCCCAAAACTCCTAGCGCTTGAGCGCACATTTTCACATCCACAGATACTCTTTACAGCACTGGTTATCAAAGTCCAATGTGGAGCTGACGGCAACCGTGGCTGAATTAGGATCAAACACTCTACCATCCAAGCAAACAAAGCCGGCGATTCCTATCCCCTGACTACATTTCTGAACGTCAGGAACACAATCCGGCTCCTCCTTTGTTTTACAACATTGATCATTAAAATCTGAAAGCAAGTTCAAGGCTATATCTGCAGACAGGGAGTTGAAAACGCGTCCGTCCAAACAGGCCCCTAAACCTAGCGCTTCGGCACAAACCTGCACCTTTAGATCAATGCCCAGACAGCATTTAGAGGAGAATTCGGCAATATTAAGGAGACTCACAGACAATCCTACACCTGCAGGATTAAAAATTGTTCCTTCAGGGCAAGCGATTCCATCGGTAATATCTCTAGCCCCCTCACAGCTGGACAGATCAATGTTTATAATATCAGAAATAATTGAGATTTTGTCGAGTATTCCACCGATAGCAACAGAAAATTTTCATGTTATGGACGAAGAGGAGAACACTCGGGGTATAAGCAAGCAATCGTACCATGATGCTGGCTGGGAGTGAACGTGTATAAATGCACAGTTATGTATTCAATGAACATTTTGTTTTTATGTGCCAGTCTTTAATACATCAACATAATACGAGAAGTACGCACAAAATATCAGACACTATAAATATTTTCTTCGACTACTTTCGACATTAGATTATGCTATTTGTATGTTGTTTTTCTCGTAGATTGTTGCGATCTCGACTGTAAATTTTCATATCGACAAATTGACAATTCACTAGACCTGGCACTGGGCAGAATGAAGTCGGGGCGCACCTTCTGATTTATACCTGTAGCCTGTAGGCAGTGTAGAGCTGTAGACAGTACATAGATGAGGCCTACTCTCTGATAGGGGTATTTTGTACACAACAGTCAGGATTCAGAGGATCACTGGATCAGGAAGGCAATATCAGTCACAACACTGGTAACAGATTCATCATTCATCGGTTCATCCCCGTAATACTATATTAGAGCAGGAGCAGTGCGCGAAAGGCATTTACCATGTGTTTGTTTCTGTGATCTGTCGTGTTGCTTTTTTCTTTTCTTCATAGCCTTCGGTTCAAATTTCAGACGGCTATGTTTTTTTTTGACCAAATATAACTATAGTTTTGTTTTAAAAAAAAGCAGACAACAAACAAAAGAAATCTAAAATATTAAAAATGTAAAATATTAACATATATAAATACCTCCTTTGGTTGTGGTTTGCCCACTGCTCGAAGACTGAAAACTGCACGAGAGGACGCAAGACTCACTCACTCACTGGTATATGTTACTCTGAGTCTCGACTCTCGACCCTCGAGTGAGTCTGGACTCTTGATAAATAGGGGGTTATGTCTCAGGTCAATATCCTGACGTATTACATTTTTAGACTTCTGGGTATTTATAATAAACGACATATCGTATTGTCCTCTAGATATGTCGAGCCCTCAGGGTACCATTCGTTTGCGACGGTCTCCACATTCTTTTTAAAATAACTAAATATCTATGTACTCATATGTCGCATAATGAAATTTGCTAGAAATTTATAAAACAAAGAGATCTCTACATTGACATACCAGCCGCCTCTGAGGATCTGACTCTCTCTCTATTTATTTAAAGACACTCTACACTGTCTACAGCAGGGTTGTTAAACGGACAAGAAAAGTCCTGTCCGAACAACCATTTGCATTTACGGACAGCGGACAAAGGGCATTATATGGACCAAACAAACGGACAGGCATCAATCTTGAAATGGACAATGGTTTGCGACAATTTGTACCTGGCGATTTTCAATTTACCAGTGGACAACAGGTCTTTTTCGAATGGGACACATGGACAGCCGCAAAAACAGGTCATAATACCATGGACAGCCTTCCCCCCCCCCGGACAGTTTAGTCCATTTGTCCGTTTAGCAACCCTGGTCTACAGAGTACAGTCTCTCTCTCTACTCTAGAGTAGAGTCTACTACTCTCTCTCGAGAGTGTCTTCTGCAGAGTGCAAACCTAAGCTCAATCCGTTAATGGTATACAGAATAAAAGTTGAACGGAAACGTTTACTGATTCATTTTGAAAAAGTTAAAACGGGAAACTGAATGAGGTTAGGTACAGACTAGAGAGAGTGAGATAAATAAATATTATACATAGTAGAGACTAGTCAGACTACTCTCTAGTAGTAAACAGAGACAACTCTACTAAATATGTTTGTAAATATACACAGTTGCACACAGCACATTGCACAATGTACACGCCACACACACGTCTCACACTCACAGTCACACACACTCACGTCTCACAGTCGCGAATGTTGTATATATTTACATATATTCCGAATTGGGCTAAGTACATAAAAATACGAAATGACTAATTATTTACTATTTTACATAAATATCTGATTATATTTATCTCAATCTGGCGCTATTTCAAAAATGTATTTACTCCCATATCACCACCACATGCCTATATACAATTTTTTAAAAAATGGTTTCATTTTTTTCAGACACTCTCCAGCAACGCTCAATATGTTTGCCTATATGCGATAAATTTTAAACGTAAACGCAAAAAAGGTTGGCTTTTAAAAGCGTTTTAGAGTATATCGGGGGCAAATCATTTGCACCTGAGAAATTGACCGTTTAAATAAAATGAAAAGATGATTTGAAACTATTCGCAACTTGACACAGTGAAAGATAGGACAATTCGTGACAGATAGGCCGTCTCAAAAAATGGACCTATTTGTAAACCCAGAGGACTATATTTAGGATAAACTTTGAACGTAAACGCTTATTATTTTCTGTTTTATACGTTTTTTTAACGGGAAACGTAATGAGGTTAGTTCTCCAGTCTCCACTCTATCTCTCTACTCTCTACTCTAGGCTCGGAGAGAGAGTAGAGACAGAGAGAGTGGACGAGTTGCGACTCGCGCACACTGTCACATTGTCACACAGCAGGCAGGCTGATTTCTCCCTCTGATAAAAATATAACGGATCATATTTATCGATTGATTTCAAAGATTTGACTGTACAATTTAGGAGGCTATGGTTTGACTTATTGACTCGAATCGCGAATATTTAATAAAAGCTCCTGCTCTGATTGAATACATACATTCTATCTGGCAATTTAGAATTTTAGAGTCCTCTACACAGTACACTGTGTCACGGTGACTGGATACTTTCTCTCTAGTATATCTGGACTCAATCTCTGCTTGACTTCAGGAATCAGAAGGCACGCCTGGCAAGAGAGTGACAAGACGGAGGACGGTGTCAGGACTCAGGAGTGACGGCCAATAATAGACGAACTGACATTTTCCGCTGTGCGTGTACTGTGCAGTCGACTAGCCGGCCGCAATTTTATACCATCGCTCTGCGTGATATTTTCTAGAGTCTAGAGCGAGAGAGAGAGCGTCTGAGTCTGACAGGCTAGAGTTTCCATTGCAGCTACAATAGCGTCGGAGCCTGTTGAGTAACTTGAGTTGCACGAATAAGCACTTGCTAAATTCCAGTTTGTTCATTCCTTAGCCTGGTCAATTGGTCATCCGTACAGAAACGTTTCACTGGGTCCCTTTAAATGCAGCTCTAATATATGCCATCACTATGAGTCAGTGCAGAATTTAAGAGAAGAGCGTCTGTTACGTCGAAAAAAGGCAGGGCATATTCTGGCCTGATGCAATACAAGTACTCTCAGACTCAGAGTCTCAACCCTTATCTCTGCCCCGGACATAGCTGTTGTATTAGGCTCAAGATCTGCGACATCCCCACTGTGCCAGTGGAGTTTCCGCTTTGTATCCGGCCCCAATGAGTGCCATCGCTCTGATTGAAGCCAGCATCCAAGAGGCGAGCATCTGTCGCATGGAAGGTGTCGACAATCTGAAGGATAGATGCAAGCGCGCAACGACATTATAATTTGTGTCTTGGTTACACTTGTGCATGGGTATTAGATGGATATTGCCATCAAGATCGGAGAAAACATGTGTTGAGATAATTACTTGTATACTTTTTTAAAGTATAAAATCATCATGAAATGTGTATTTCGAATCGTGTTGTGTAAACGGATCCCGATGCGAATCAGCGATTGTATTTATGTGAGACAAGATTCGATAAATGAACACCACAGTAATTGGTACGCAAATCTAAGTTGCTGGTTAATGGTGGATTATAACGCATGGGCACACAGTACAAAGCACAGGCAACAACAGCTGATGTTTCATCTGCTGAGTATACAAACAGCAGCAGAGCATTGTGATCTTTTTCACAATTAGATAGCGGTACGTAAACACATCTACAAAGATATATAACATACGCTGCGCAAGTGATGAGAGACGCAAAAGATGTGCAAATGCTGCACACTCAACATGCACCAGCATTCCACAACTACAATCCTTGCACAGGAGAATATTAATTTTGTTCGTTGTCGAGAAGAACCCTCACGTGACAGGTCAGCGACTTCACAGATTGTCATTTTTTTTACAGTAGAATACCCAAATGATTAAGTTAATGTTTAATAGAGATACGTGTAAATATGTGTATAATAATTATGCACTCCATCACTGGTCACACCGAAATCGACACTATAAAAAACAGAGAAAACATCGGCGAATACACAGTGTGCACGCAATGTACAGGTACAGACTAGGCACAGCCCCAAACTCCGTTGATATATGCGTATAAAAGCTTTACCGTACACTACCATATACATCACATTGTGCACAATATGTCTTATCAATGTACACGATAATTGTGTGTAAAGTGTCCGTATCTATCCACAAGCCATCATATTTGTGTATGATATACCTTGATGTTGTATTCGAGCACTATAGCTGCGACACGACGAGACCATTCATATACGCGAGGACGGACGCGCGTGCCAACCTGGCCAGTCCCAGAACTCATGAGAAGAAAGAAGATCCTTCCTGCCGGTCAATGAATGAGAAAAGATATCTATAACTTGGATGATAGACCTCCATTGAATCTGTATACTAATTTCTGATAGGATGAATCCTAAAGCATATATGTACGACTACGTGGATACTGCCAAACAAATACACCATTGCACAGAAATCAACCAGCGATACCGTTGGCGTCCTCACTAGGGTTGACCAGTACTGCTAAATCTATTCTGGGATTGTATGCGACGTGAAGAACCAGAGCCCTCCATGGGCCACCGAAGCGAGAACTCGATACAAAAGAAGCTTGGTCAAAGCTCGAATGTATATAAAGTCATAGGCATATGCATAGGCAAGTGCGAGCTATCAGTGTTTCAAAAGGTATATGAATGAATCCGAAACCTACGTAAATACCTACCATTTCGTATATGGCCAGGACATCCCTCCGCTAAACTTGCCAGCGCGGGTCTGAGATGGCTCTCTACATGCGCAAAAGATGACTTGAACACATTCCACATTCCATGGCCCAGTACAATAGTTTCGTACTCTCTGCAATGGTCCGGGAGAAGCTGCGTTGCCATGGCAGCAGCGAATTCTTCAATTTCTCCGGCAAAGGTGGTGTTGATCTCAAAGTTGCCTGGTAACTTTTCATATAAGTAGTATGGGCATTGCTTGCAAGAAATAAAGCTTACGTTCACAAGGTTCCCGAATTCACATTGATGCTGAACAAAAATGCAGAGCTGGATTAATATTGTTCACAAACAATTATGTCAGAAAGTGAAGTGACCAGAAAACAGAGGGGCAAGCCACATCTCTCACAGCCGAGTAAAGTGTTGAAATGCTCACAAGGTCGAGCACCTGAACTGTATAAACGAATATACATATCTTCACAAACAAAAAAAAAGCCCGAAAAAGTGTTCCGCAGAGTTATTATGTTCCAAATGATTATGCCTATAAAAGCGTAGGCAAACACCGATATTCCGTTTATGGATTCTATTCAAATTTATAAGCAGCTGTAATGATACCACCAGTACACAGAGAACGAGTGCAAGGGTATTAAATATTCAAATTAAATTCCCATCACAACACTCATATACGAATAGATGTGCCCGTACCTGCAGAATCATGTCGTCGTGCTTCTCAGCCTCCGAAAACATGAGCGTGAAATTTTTAGACGGATGGGTTGCTGCTATGAAATAGCTCCAATCTTGCCAAAAATTCCTTGCTATGTATGTATTGAAGAAGCCGATTCAAACGGTCAGCATGGTAACTATAGATACACTGTGAATTTGGAATATCAATTGAAAACATATATGACTCGTGTTATATTCAAATATACATACATACATACATACATACATA